CAGAGAGGAAGACAAGCCTATTTAGAGACGATGAGCACAGGCTGCAGATGAGGGGGCCTCGGGTGGAGAGAGGCGGGGAATGGTCTGGTGTTGGGAAGGGCCATGTGTTACATGTGGGCCATTGTCCAGGCCTAGCTCTTGTTTTGGGTGGTGAGTTAGTGGATGCTCATGCCATTATTAAAAATAACTAATACACAAAGCTGACTAAGTAAAAGCAGGCTATGCAAGGACCAGGATGGAAGTGTCACATGAACCAAGGACTATGAGAATCCAATCCTATGTATCTGGTCCAATAAAAAAAAATTGATGGAAGACAAGCCTATTTAAAAGGATGGTCTGAGATTTAGATTTTATAACATGCGTCCTTTTTCTTACTAGTTTTCTTTCCTCGCTATTCTTTTTAAACACAATTTTTCTTCTCCATTGCAAGAGCGGGTTCACAAAGGTCTCAAGCATCAGGAATCTGGATGACTCCCTTAGCGGGCACCAAAGGCTTATGAGGGCAGAAGGAAGGTCTGGGCTGGCTTCTGGAAAGGGGGCGGTGCATGGACATTTGGATAGAGCTGGTGCGGAGTGTAAGGTGATGACCTTACCCAAACAGGCTGACGTTTTACACTGGACAGTAAGGAGAGGAAAGGCAGACGCTGTCAAGCAGAGCACCACTACTCCGAGCCTCGGTTCTTACACTCAGAACAACTCCCTGCTTTGGGGATACGGGCACTCTTTATTTGGGCATTCATCTGCTCATCCCCTGGGCGCTGAACAAGGTGCTTGCTCTGCGCTGTGTGCTGGGCCCTCATGGGGACAGAGCACAGAGCGAGTGCCTTTTCTGGGTCACACACCATGCTAAGTGCTTTGCATGTGCCGTCTCTCTTAACCCTCACAGCGACTCTCCTGTGTTGCTTCCCACGTAAGAGCCTGGCCACGCCCAATTACAACTGTCAATCGTCCTTTTCACTGGTATGGCTGGAGACCCTGGGTGTAATGGAAAGGCAATGGGCTCTGAAGGCAGACCGCTCTTGGTTCGAATCCCAGGGTCCCCACTGGAATACTTGGCACATCTGTTTAAATTCACCTCTTTAAGTTTCTCATTTGTCAGATGGGATTAACAACCCCAGGGCTGTATGAGAATTAAATGAGATAATTCATACAACAAGTATTTTTTATTTCTGTCACATAGTAAATGTTCAGTAAACGGTCTCCATTATTATGATTTTTTTTCTTGAGAAGAGGATCTATAAATAATTTGTCTTTATATTCCCAGGGCCTAATACCTGGTAACATGTTCATTACCTGTTTCTTGAATGAAGGAAGGAATGAATGAATGAGTGTGTGCCCTTTGAGGATGAGAATCCATATTCTACCATTCTTCTTACTTCTTTCTTGGCAGGCTCACAGCAGCTCTAGGACAGGTAAAGCTGCCCTCCCTGGACATGGTGCCAACCCTGTGGCCAGGATTTATTGAGAAGCCCTGGGCTCAGCACCATGGACAGAAGGAAGAAGGACCCTGGTCTTCCTGCTGAGACTTCCAAAAGGAAGAACCGCCACTCAGCCACAAATGTCTTCTTTTGCCATCCAGTAACCTCCTGAATGGTCCTAAGAATGCGGCTGGCTTCAGAAACTCTTTCTACTTGAGAATTAGGGCGTTGTACCAGCTTTTTCAGGAAGCAAGGACTGGGCCTTGGCTGGAACCACCTGTGAGACGGCAGTGGCCCCTGACACCCTGGGCTCAGAAGGGTTTCTCATTCCTGGCTTCAATGTCCACCCAAACTGCCTCTACCCCCAGACACTGTCATTTCCTCTCAGGAGTGATGGAAATGGGCATAAGCTCCAAGGGTGAAGGAAGGCGGGCGAGGTAGGCGCTTGGACCAGGCACCACCTCCCACTCCAGTTCCTTCCTCCACGGGTGCTGTGCTCTGTGGATTGACCTTTCACCTCCTTGCCTCACAAGCCCTGCCCTCTCCGCAGTCAATCAAATGACGGAGCACTGCTTGGTGTGACCCTGGATCGGGGACAGAGTCCTGGGCCAGGAGGCTTGGATTTCAAATCTGGCCCCTGATACTCACTGGCTATGGGATTTTATTTATTTATTTATTTTTATATTTTATTTATTTATTTATTTATTTATTTTTAAGGTTTTTACTGGAGAATCAGAGAAGGGGAACAGACAAGTTGCTGTCTTTTTGTTCTTCAGTCCAGTTGTAGAGGACATCGCTTCACTGGCCCATGTTGGTATTATCATTGCGCTCTTCCCGGGTGAGGCAGTTGCTTGCCGGCCATTGGACGGCCGCTCATGGCAGCTCACACCAGCTGCCAGCCACTCACGGTAGCTTACAGCAGCCCACTGCAGCCGGGCTGCAGCCTATGCCCTCGCTGGTGACTCACAACAGCCCAGCTCCAGGTTGAGCTGTTGTTCACCATCTTAGCTGTAGAGGGTGCAGTGTCACTGGCCCTCATGTGGGATCCGAACCGGCGACCCTGCTGCTTAGAGCTGGTGTCCCAAGCCAACTTTTAACCAACATGCTACTCGGGCGGCCTAGCTATGGGATTTTAGACAAGGCACTTTTGCTCTTCTGTAAAATAAGGTGCGATCACCCACCTCGAAGTTCTGGTGTGAGAATTAGCAGTGATGTATGCACATAGGAGGTGATCTCAAAATTGTAATTATGACGATTATTACTCCACATACCCAGGGGCTGAGGCGGGGCGAAAGGCCTGGAAGATCTCGGCGCCGAGTTCACTTGTCAATATGGGCTAAAAATAAGTACTTTTCTCGTCTCCTTAGACCCCAGAAACCTGGCAGACCCCAGAAAACCCCACCGAGCCTGTACTGTGTACAGCCCCCACCGAGGATTCCATGTACAGGGAGCGATTTAAGAGGCAAACAAAACAGGAAAAGCTACTCAGGATTAACAATGGGCCAGATGGTAACACTAGTTTGAAGCAATAAAACATGATAAATAGCTTCCTGCTGCTACTCCTGATCAATTTCAATATTTAATAATCCCACTGCCACCCCCACCCCCTCATCTGGCCCCCTCCACAGCATCCTGCCATGACTCCCCGCATTCAGCTCACAGAGCAAACACTTCTTCACTTTCTGAAGGCGTCAGCAAAAAGTCTGCTGTTCAACTGTCACAGGAGCGCTCTCGGCCCTCGAGATAATAATTAATCTGCCTGCCTCTCCTGAAGACGCCTGTCTCCAGCCTCTCCTGGTTGCCAGGGAAGGTTGTGAGAGAGTGGTGACTGCAGAGATGCGATAGGAGCACTCGCCTTGTTGATTCAACGACTATTGGTATTCTCCAAGCTTTGCTTTTGAATTCAAGAGACGCTGGGAGCTGGGTGTTCATCTTGCTCCAGACCAATTAGTGGGACAAAGAGACCAAGAAGGGGACACCGGCAGCATGGTGTCAGTCCCTTACTCACCAGCCATGCCTCTGAGCCTCAGTTTCCTTCTCTATACAATGGAGATAACCATGCCTGACTCCAGGAGGATTCTAGCTGGTGTGCACATGTAAAGGGCCTGGCAGAGGGCTTGGCACGTGGAAAATGGCCCCGAATGGGCAGCTGGGGGCATCATTATCAGCTGTGAGGCCAATCTGCAAATGAAGCCCGAGCCCCACGCCTGCAGGAAGGGCCTGCTGGTCCCTGTGGTCAGGAGGCTGTAGCCCAGGGTGGACCACGGGTGTGGGCATGACCTGGCAGGGAGCACCCCGTTGTCAGATGGATCTGCAGGATTCTCCCCAAATGGCGCCCACTAATAAGACGAACTGCCTGGCACTGCCAACGAGGGCTCCAAAGGCTTTCATACCCACTGACACAGGAGAGCAGGCCTGGATGGCACCATTTACAGAAGAGGGAATAGAGATTAGGAGGTGAAATGGTTTTTCAAGTTTATGTCGTAGGGAATGGCGCAGTCAGTTCTAATCTGATCTCCCAAGCCCTGATTTCATGTCCTGATTTCATGTCCTCTCCAAATCACAGGAGAAAGTTCTCCCCGAGGGGCCTCCTCCTCTGGGTGTCCCTTTCACAGGGGAGGGAAGCCTGGGTGCCAGGTGACCTGAGTTGCAGTTACTCACCTGTGAGACGAGGCTGGTAATACCTAATGCATGGGCTCAAAGGGATGTTTAATGAGGGAATATGCAGGAAAGTCTTTTGTAATTTTGTGAGGAGCAGTACAAATGTCAGGTATGTTATTATGACTTTGCAGAGAAACACCCTCTATGAGGAAAAAATCAGAAACTTATCCACCCAAAGGTGAATCCTTCTAACCAAAGACTTCATACCACGTAACCTAGAGAATCGAGAGTGAAGTCTTTTGTTGGCATTCATGGCCTTAGCAGCTCCTGCAACCCCATCTCGGCCCCTCTGCTCTTCCTGTCTTGCATCAGCCCATCTAAGCCACTTGGGGCTCCCGGGGTCTTTCACAAGTACGGATGCCTCGACCAAGCAGAACCCCCGCCGGAGGGGCCTGTCCCACCCTGTTCACAGGCTGATCCCGCTCATCTTTCTCCGAGACGGCTTCTGGGGGCCTCCCTTGACTAGGAGCTCCTCCTCTGGGTTCCCTGATAGCCTCTCTGTGCTTCCCTCCATCCTAGCAGATGTCACCTCCCACCGCCTCCCACATAGAGCGAGTTCCTTCTGGGCGAGAACCAAGCACGATTCACACCAGTCTCTCCAGAGCCTGGCCCACATATGCTCGGGGAGTGTGTGCTGAGAGATGAACGAATGAACAGATAACTGGGTATTCTCAGTATGAATGGCATCAAAGCCTTAAGCAAAGACAAGGGATTCTAATGGGGGAGTCAGAATTTGGGGGGAGGGGGGCACAGCCTTGTAGCAGGCAGTGCCCGTGAAGGCAAATTCAGCTCAGTCCCTCCAGCTGATAGAATAACCTTCCTCCTTCCCCGGTCTTGACCCTTAACGAAAAGGACCAGAACATGGACCGCCCACCCCTGTCTGGACTCCCCAGGGCCTGGAGGAGGCCAGGCTCCAGGTACCTGAATCCCGCTGGTCCAGGGTCACGGAGTTCCACCTCCGGGTGATGTCGATGTAGAGGATGTCCACGGCGGCCATGGACAGGGTGCTGCCGCTCAGTTTGCAGTTCCTGCCGAAGACGGAAAGCGACACGTGACTGCTGGCCCGACCCGGCCTGCTCTGTCCCGCTGCCACGCCTTTGCCTGGGCTGTACTCCCTGGGTGGTAGGCCCTCCCTTCCCGTAGCTGGAACTAATGAAGGGTGCATGGCAGGGCATGGCGAGAGAGAAGGCTGGAAAGGTAAGCTGAGGTTAGATCAGGTGAATTCCTGAAATCTGGTTAATTAGGGCTCTAATGGGCTGGACAGAGCAAGTATTTCAGGGTGGCAAGCCTGAAGGTGACCCTGGCCCAGCCACCTAGAAGCTGGATGGCCCTGGGTAAGCTGTTTCCTCTTCCTGAGCCTCAGTTTGCTCACCTATAAAACAGGCAAGTCTTTATGCCAGTCACCCTGTATCAGCCTGTCCTTACACAAGGCAGTGTAGGTCTCTGCCTGCTCTGAGAGGGCCAGGGGAACTCCACATTCCCGAAACACACCCTCTGCGGGTCTTCACCTTCGCACCCATTAGTCTCTGGGAAGAAGAAAAGCTGCATCTGCAGGGCTGAGTTCTCCTGCCAGCGAACAGGCAGCTGACATTGGCATGTTCAGATGACCCAGTGATACCAGCACCGTCACTGGTACAGGCTGAAGCCATCGCTGCTGTCCAGAAGTGATTGCTCACTGGAAATGCTCACCAGAGCCCGTGGGGCGAAATCTACACACAGGGGCTCACGGGCTCTGCGCGTCACCCATCTTAATATGTCACCTTAAGATTTTACATAGGCCCAGATTCAGCCACAGTAACCCCAGGACTCACAGAGCAGAATGGCACAGGCTGGCCACGCCCCTTTGTGGGCGGAGGCAGCGTCGCTGGGGAGGCCTCTGACTTTGGGGGAGTCACCTGGAAAGGACAGGAGGAGGGAAGGGGGAGGCCCGTGCAGTTCAGATGTTCCCCTCGTTTAGGTTTTCAGTCCTATATCAGCAATGGTGCTCCCTGTCCTAGTCACAGAGGGGGTTTTAGAATCGTTCTCCTCCCGGCTTGGTGATTTTGTTTGTTTGTTTGGTCTGGACGTGTAGAGGCAGGCTGGCACACTGAGAAGAGCATGATTTGGGCCTTCGACAGACCAGGGTTGAAATCCTGTGACTGTGGGCAATTTACTTAAACTTCCGAGACTATATTTGCTGGTCCCTGAATGAAGATGATAATACCTACCCACACAGCAGTTGTGAAGATGAGCTGAGGACTCCCTGGCACCTGGTTGCCCCCAAACAATTGTTGGTTCCCTTCCCGATCTCTCTCTCCCTTTCGTTTTCCTCTTCCAGCGCGAGAGCCATCTCAGCCCCATCAGAGGCTGCCTGAAGCTGGCCTTTCTGGAGAAGAGCTGCTCACCAGCCCGTGTCTGGGTGCGAGGGTTCAGGCTCTGTTCAGGCTGGAGGCAGCCCTGGGCTTGTCCAGGTGCAGCACTGTCCTGAACAGGATCGTGCTGGGATTGTGGGTCCCAACACAGGCCGGATTTGCCCTGAAAATCCTGAAGGCTAGACCTCGGGGCCAGCTGTCCGTTTGGCTGAACTACATCCAACGTTGCTTTCAACTTTCCAAACATGTCCACGCCCATCACCCCAGCCTGTGATAAAGCGGTTCTTTGATTTCCCATTTGTCATCATCCCTTAGGAACCCACCAGGCCAGGGGTAGCTTGGCAAGCAGAATTGGGGCATTCCAGAGGCCCCCTCCAAACCAACCCATGCAGACCCCTAACAGGGGTGGCTGGGAGCGTGCCCCGCATGCTGCTTGGATGAGGCAGGTGCCCCTTATGTGCTAGCACACTCGCTCACTCGCTCCCGGACCTCTTCCTTTCTTCCCACCCTGTGCATATTTCTCAAGCCATCCATTCACACCCTGCTTCCTCCTGGGCTCCTGCTCCGTGTTTCAATCACAAGCCACCGTGGCAGGCTTCAAAGCACATCAGCGCACAGTTATTGAGCCCCAGGAACAACATGTCAGTGGGCGCAGAGCCTTTCACGTCCCCTGTCACCAGGACGGCTATCTCTATTGGGTTCCGCTGGGGCAGTGCTCTGATCTCTCCCAACGTATCTGAACAACCTGCATGGCTCCTTTCCAAAGCTTCATTAGGAATGGCCGTGGCTTTCTCAAACTATCATATCCGTGTCCTCTGGACTACCTGCTCCCCCACAGGACAGGAGCTCTGCTGGCTTGCTCTGTGGGTTAATAGAGTATAAAAAGGGAAACCAAACTGACCACTGGTATATAGTTATTTTTTTCCTGACAGGTAGAAAATAGAAGTGTCAAACCTTTAGCAGGAGCCGTAATTTACCGAAAAGAATTCTCCATTTATCCCTTTTCCAAGGAAACGCACCGTCCCTTGTGATGCCTGCAAGTACAGTTGATTGCAACATCTGCTACTGGGATGGGAAGGAGGGGTCCATGCTGTCTGCAGCAGACAGGAAATGCTTTGAAAGAATTTTGATTCTGTAGGCATTTTGAGGGACACCATCCGCGTGCCAGGCCCTTTCCTGGATCTTTAGATTAGCTCTCTGGATCATTGTAACCACTCTAGAAGGCAGGTACACTTAGTCCCATCTCAGGGACGGGTTAGCTGAGACGCAAGAGAAGGGACATGACTTGCCCAAGGTCACAAGCTGGGATTCACATCCAGTCCTCCCCTGGAGGATAGAGTAGTGGACTTGGGAGATTTGGGGACAAGTGGGGAGGTAGCCCAGCCCAGGGTTGCAGAAAGAACCCAGGATTCAAGACGCAAAGTCTCAGGCGGGGCCCAGGAAGGCTGGAACCTCCGGACAGCTCCTGTTGGGAAGCTTTGGAATATAGGCTCAGGAAGACAACCAGAAATCAGTTGGAGACAGGTTCTCCCAGGTTTGTCCCCGTGGTCACCAAACATTCTCAGTTGACTCAAATAGGGAATGACTCCGAGGGTTAAGGCGTTAGAATGCATTTCCATCCATCCACCTGCTCAAACACAATTTATTCTGAGTCCACTATGTGCAGGCGATATTCTGGGCCCCGTGAGTGGTGCAGAGCTGACTTGGTCTTGGGTACCATCCTCAGAGGGTAGAAGTGATCTCAGAGTGAAAACGTGAAGCCTTAGCAGCTCTTTATCATTGAGAAAAGCTTCCCCTTATGTCCTGGGATGCAGTTCTTTAAATGACTAATGAATGGAAGGATACATTCTTCAGTAGAAGTCCAAGAAATATGGTAACATGAGAAGCCAGGAAAATTCCTAAGAAAGGAGAGGCTGGAAATGTGCATGGAAAAAATGAGCTGTGGAGTCAAATGCACATCAGTTTGAATCTTGACTTTGTTGTGTGGCCTTAAGCAAGTCACCGAAGCTCTCTGCATCTAAATTTCTTGTTTGTACAACAAGAATAAGGCTACTCACCCTACAAAGCAATTTTAAGGACTAGCTCAGTACCCGGCACACCTGGGAAGTGGCAGATGACAGCTCCTGGCCTTCCTCCAGGATGTAGAACCAGTTTGAAGAAATGGGCTTTTGTTATTGCTGTTGATTTTCAGAAGCAAAGGAATTTGGGCACATATGATGGTAAAGAATTACAAATCATTTAAGTTCATTAGGATTCCAAGTATAGAAAGATTTGGCATTATCATCCCCATTTCCTCTCAACAACTACTGACATCTCATGGGAAATTTAGATACCAACTTTTTCCACTCCATAAAATCCTATGTATAGAATTTATTTTGTGTTCATCCTTCTCTGCACAGAAAAGGAGCTTACTTGTTTCCTGGAGAGGTGTCTATAAGGTGAAAGCTAAAAAATGATCAATATTTGTTTTAAAAAATCCAAACCACTATCTAAACATCTAAGGGGTAAAAACGACAACTGTGGTTTATAATGTATATATTTTAAAGGCTATTGATATACCTGGCACAGATTCTCACAATAATGCCGGAAAGAGAGCAATCACAGAAGAGGGGGACAGTCAAAGTCACCAAGGAGTTAATGACAGAGGGGAGGCAAGGCTCCTTACGCTTCCAATCTAGAACATTCTAACATATCTTGTTACCTCTCAGAGAATAACACCCCCCTCCCCCCACCACACACACACAGCTACCCATTTTGAAGCATATTAATATCTCCTTAGGAGAAAAGGGAATGGACGGGGAAAAAGGAAACAGAGAAAACCATTCTCTACTTTAAAAGGAGCCACAAAGCATGAGCAGGAATCTCCCAGTGGAACGGCCCCCCATAAAGCGAAAATGCTCAACGTGGGGAGAAGCTGCCTCCATTTCCTAGAAATCAACCAGGCTGCGGAGATGGAAACTGCAGCATGTGCGAACTGATACTAAATTCTGATGTGGGATACACTTCGAAAACCTGTCCTTCCTGAATTACAGAGGATACCCCCTCTCCCCCCAGATTAGTCACTCAGGGGCAGGGAAACAACAAAAACGCATTTCCCTCAAAGAAAGCCGTCAAGCTGAAGAGTCCGATCACTTCTGTTTCTCAGAGAAAGAGAAGTCTCCACACCCCGGCGATTATTATGAAATAATAATTTTTGAAAAGCAGCACTTCATTCATGGTAATATGTGGCGCTATTATGTGCCTCCTGAGGAAATGACACGAAAGGCTGGTTAGGTAGAGTTAAGTCTAGACAAGAAAACGACAGTTCATTATTCCTCATTTCTCGGTGGAAGAGAAAAATAGAATATGGCCAGCCTAGCATTAGCATAATTCCCTCCCAAAACTGCTGATCTATGCAGCACGTTAGAAGAGATGGTCACTGAAAATAAATTTAATGAGAATGTTTATTATTTTGTTCCCTCCAGTTCTCTTCAAGGAAGTTGGAGAGAAAGAGTGGGTAGTAGAGATGAAAGCCAAGTTCAGCCTCTGCTGTGTGTGGGAGCTGTGAAAGGAATATCCACCCAGCCCGCCGATAGGTCTCCTGTGCAGTGCTCCTGAGAAGGGCCCTGGGTTCCATTTAACATATAGCATAAATATTATTAATTCATAACGAAGCAAAATTTAAACCGAAGTGCAAAGGAGAGAGAGGGTAGTTGTTAGCAAGAGAAAACACTTGCTGTTAAATTGAGCTGGCAAGACTGAACATATTCAGATAAATCTAAAAGCAGAGGGGATCATCGTTTACGATGAAGTTGCTGTTGGGATCTCTTGGTACGTTTTAAAAGAAAAAATCTATTAACGGTTGTGCAACGTTTTCTCCATTTCTTCCTGCATCCTTAACTCCTCAAGACACTGGCTGGGCGGGGCGTCGTCTCCTCAGCTGCCTCTTCTCCACTCTTCTCCACCTGAAGACGCGCGTGGTCCCCTCTCACGGTCACCAGCGCTCCCACTAACAATGCAGCCACAGATTGGGAAGGACGGGCCGGTGCCGCAGGACCTAATAGACTCTAACATCACCAAATCGGTTTTTCATGCAAATGCCCTTAGTTATAGAGAACAAAGGGGTGGAAAAGCAGAAAGCCAATCACATAGAGACAGATTCGTAGCAATATTTTTTTCACAATACCCAGTCAGTTCCAGTCTGAGAGCATTTTAGGAATCTTCTTGGCTAGGACCATTCCCAATTCTGTTTCCTTGTCAAAACAGTGTATGAATACATCAGTCCTCTTAATGTGTACCTTGGCTTCTCATACCAGATGTCACACACGGGTGGTCTCTATGGGCAGTCGCACTTTGATTGAACCCACACAGTGTTTAAAAATTATTGTCTGAATGACCAATATTCACAGACAGGTATTGAGCTTTTACATTAAAATCAGTATTTCTAGTTTTTCTTAAAAAACAAACAAACCGGAAAGCTCTGGTGCTGTGAGCCCAGCAGGGTCCTCGGGGCTGGGCTTGTGCCCTCCAGGCGGCTGCCCCCGCCCCGCCCTCCCGTCCTTCCAGATCCAGCCTGCTGGGCTTGTTTGTGCTTCCTGCCTGCCCCAGGAGGCAACAGAGATGGTGATTCTTATGCCGCAGTAGTTTTTCTCATCGCCCTCTCTCTCTTACATTTTAGTCGAATTTTACTAGGAATAAAAAGGAAGCACCTCGGTTTCTATACCATCAATTTAGCCTGGGTGATAAACCTTTTCTAGCTTCTAAAAATGAGCCACTCACGGGAGCCATTCTCGGGATTGCTCAGGGCTGCATCCCTTTACTGCCGGGTAAGCGCCCGCCCGCTTGTGACAGTCTGATCGCTGCCTCCTCCCGGGGGCCTGCCTGGATTCCACCGGGCAGACTCAGGGTCCCCTCTTCTGTGCCAGCACTCTCAACACAGTCCCTCTCGGGTCACGATCCCATGACTCTGCCAAAGGAATGCATTTCACTGTTTGTTCAGTGTGTACTGTCTCTTAGACTGAGAGTCCCCCGAGGGCACATGGGTTTCCATTATTTATTTCTGATTGTCCTATGGCTACCTGGTACTCAGGAAAAGGTGTTAGGTCAGACCAGACACGGTCCTTTCCCACACAAGGCTGAGGCGGAGCAGCTCTCCCAGGGCCCCCAGGGTCCCCTGCAGCACCCAGGCTGTTGTCCAGAGGAAGCCAAACCATCCCTCACTCTTGCGGGTCTTGAATGGACTCGTGTGTAACAGTGCAGGATGGGGGGGGGGAGGGCCCAGAAAGCTCCCGTCTCTGCTCCAGAAGGTCTGAGCCTGCACGTGTCGTGCTGAGAGAAGGCTGTTACCCTCATTATTCCCCGGGGTCCCTGCATGCTTCCACAGCACCTCAAGTGCCCTCACGACCTGGGGCCTCTGTCACTGAGCTGGTTCTCTATGTACCGAGGCCCAGTCATCACAAAGGGGCAGAGAATGTCTATGTGTTTTCCTCCTCCTCCTCTTCACTGTATTGGGACACCAGTGCACACAGACAAATTCTGTCCCAGCTTCCCATGCAGATGGCAGTGGCCAAGAAGATGGAAGTGGAAGTCATTAAATAAATCTTCTAGAAAGCTTTTTAAGGGGGTCTAACTCATTTGGCAGAGGCCTTTTGCTCTTCTTCCCTTCTTCCTGCGGCCTGCCTGGAACGTGGCTGTGATGGCTGGACTTTGAGCAGCCATCTTGTGACCACAAGGCAACTCTGAAACGGGAAGCTCATGCTTAGGATGAATGAGCAGAAAGAAGACAGACAGTGGGGTATTGATTACACTGTGGAGTCATTAACGGGCCCTAGAACCCCTAACTGCTAAAACTCCTGCGGTATGAGAGAAAACTAATTGCACCATTTAAACCATTTATAGATGGGGATGTATTACTACGTATCAAATATAGCTCCTGAATGAGTCAGAGGGTATCATGTTAGGGGGTCTCAGGCAAATAACAACACGCGCCTGTTGACTTTCTTGAAAATGTCCACTGCCTGATGTAAATAATAATCACACGGCTCTCGTGAAGTTGGCACTGGGCCAGGCGCTTTGTGATAGACTCCGTCCCAACCTCATAATAACCCTGTAAGGCAGGAGAGATTACTCCCATTTTAGAGATGAGAGAACTGAGACTCAGAGAAGACAAAGGACTTACACAGCTGTTAAGTGATGCGCTTGGCTTTGAAGCCAGACCCCAAAGCCTCGGCCCTTTCCCCTGGTCTTGCCTCCCCCTGCTGAAACTAACATAAAGCCCTTCTCAAAATCACCAGGCAAATAGAACTTCGGGGTTACGGACATGATAAAAATTCCGGCTGATATACACCTGTTTCCCAGCCCATCAGGAATATCAGAGGGCTAGAGTTAGAATTTATAAAATTCATTTAGAGAAAAGTGTATGACAAAATGGTTTCTGATTCCAGACTTCTAATTATTTGCTTTAGTGAATAAAAGCATGAAGAGTGTAACTTTGAGGTACAAGGTAAAAATATTAAAACACATCATTAGAAAAACAACAGTCACATCGAATGATGGCAGATGCTTCTTTTAAGGCGTAGAACATAAAATCCTGGGGTATAGGCAGCTTCACCCCTATTTTATAGAAGCATTGAGGCTCAGCGACATCATTAACTTACCCAAGGGTTACACAGCTGGTAAGTGCTCCTGATTTACCCCAAAGTGCCCCAGAGGGTAGAGGAGAATTAATGAATAATCTCAGGAGATTAAGTGGCAATGGCTTATTTTGTAGCCTGCGGCAAAAATCTCATGTTTTATCTTTAAAATCATGCAAATTTTATATTATGCTGTATAATATAACCAAGTTATTTTTATATTAGAGCCAACATATTAAATTATTTATCGGCTGAATTAATTTTTCTCTCCTGAAATTGACACTTTGGAAGGATGTGCCTTGTTTCTCTCCTGTGGCTCCGTAAACGCACGGCACACAGCCACGTGCCGCTGGGAGAACATCAGCCCCGTTTAAGAAGCACGAGTTCTGTCTGAGTCCAAGGGGCAATGATTTATATGTGGTTTAAGGACCTAATTCAAGGTAGCACAGAATCGTTTTTTAACCACAGCATACAGTTGCGAATGCCGTCACACCCATAACATTAATTCATTCAACAAATGGGGGTCTGCTATGTGCCAGGCCCAGTGCCAGCTGCTGAGCCAATCCAACCCCAGAGGGGGCACTGACCCAGCACCACAGGCTCTCCCAGGAGTTGTCAGGCAGATCAGACCAGCACGATGTGGGGCTGGACTCCACCCTGCCCAAAGCCCAAGCCGGAGGGGGCTGGTCTCACTGACCTTATGAAGGTACGGAAGCCTGTTGGTCCCAACTTCATTGTCCCCTTGATTCCCAGGAACCGGATAAACAAATTTGCCATCCTGTCCACCAGGCGCAGGTAGTTGAACTGCTTTGCGTACTTGGGGAACACCTGCTTGAGGCAGATGGAGGGCAGGTGGGCTTCGGGGTTGGGGTTGCCGTCCGAGGCGATGGCCGGCTCACCCTCAGAAGGATCTTCCTTTGCAGCTAATGGCTTCTCAGGCTGCTGAGACCTGGAACACACAAGAAACTGATGACTGAACAGATACCTGGAACAGGCTCTACAGCAGACACAGCACTTTCCCTTGCAGATTCTCCTTTCCTTTAGATTTACAGCAACCTTAGGAGGCAGGTATTGTCACTGACCTCAGAGAAGTGACCTCAGAGAAGTGACCTGCCCAAGCTCACACAGCTAGTGCATGCCAAAGCCAGGACTTGAACCCAGGACAGAGTCAGGACTAGACACATACGTTTCTTCCGTCCTACCATCCTGGTTTTGCACTACGGACAACTTCCTTTACTGTACTCGTGATTCAAGAGAATCCTCTATTATGGAGCAGTCTGGATTTGATTTCAAACTCCTACTTATGGGTAATAGTTGAATAATTAAGAAATATAAAAATCTCATTGAGGGCTGGCAAAAAGCCATGGGCACAGTTTAATGAACAATTTGCAAAGATACATCGGTTACCCAATTGTGGGAATAGGCACAATTACGTCTTCTGAATGAACTATTTTCTTATTTGGAACCCATACAAAAAATGATTATGGTGTTGTGATTCCTTAGTCTGGATATTTTACTCTGAAATTATTCTGATATTCAAGAAAATTCACAGCTACTAACTCTCAAACATCCACCTCTCTCCTGGAATGTTCTTCTCACCTGCAGACCCACATACAATCAACGGCCCTGTTTAACCTTCAGAATGGACCACAGGCACCTCCGACTGAAGTGGTCATTTCCCCGCACCCTAAATCCTCATTCCCTATCTCCTGGAATGCCACCACCACCTGCCGGTGACCCCAGCAGGAGGCATCAGAATCAACGCCAGCTCCTCCTGTCCCTGCGTCTCCACGCCCAGTGCTACCTCGTTACTGTTCCCTGAAAGCCCACTCTCCTCCTGCCCGGGCCTTGTTAGCTCTTACCTGCACTGGAACAGCGGGGCCTCCTGCCTCCAGCCTATGCCATCCATGGTCCGTCCTGCACACTGGCACCCGAGGCACCCCTTTTCAAGCAAACCCGACCTGGTAACCTGCTCGCTACAGCTCTTGGGTGACTCCCGAGAGCCTACAAGATACAGCCACACTCCTCATTCTGACACTCGAGGCCCTTCCCCATTTCTTCTGCTCCCTCCTCATTTTCTGTCACTTTCTGTACCCTTCAGGGCTGTGAACACTCCCCGCCGCCCCACCCTGCCACCCATCGGCCTGGACTGGAACCAGGGACGCCCCTACTCCCTCTCACACTCACTCAATGCTTCTCTCCGCACTCGCAGCTCATCTCAGTTTCCTGTCCTGCCCATAGCGGATCGGGGCCCGGGGTAACCCTTTTTCATCTGTGTGTCCATTCTTGGGACAGGACCCTGAGCACACTGAGCAGGGACAGTAAATACTGCCCAACCGACTAATCGACCCAGGAAAATCAGAAGCACATCTCATGGTACTGAGCCCAATACCAAGGCCATTTCCTACTCTTTTCTTTACTAAATGGCCTTGTCCCCAGTGCTCCCACTTTCAAGCACGCCATCAGTCACCAAGGTGGGCCATCCTGGTATCTTCGTAACTGCTTTTCTCGGCCCTTAAGGCCTTCCCCTGGCCCTGGCTGCCTGACCCACTTCTGTTCCACTTTCGAAACCAGCTCAGATGTCTCTCGACCAC